TAAAGCGCGCGACGTGCTTCGACATTAACAGCATTACCCCGCGTTCGCTTTTCACAGTGCCGCCGCCATTAGTTCACATTAACGGGAAAGAGAGAGAGAGAGAGAGAGTGAGGGAATTTTGGGAAAGAGAGAAAGAGAGAGAGAGAGAGAGAGAGAGAATTTTCGTATTCTACGCATAAATCATTTTTAAAGGGTAGAAAACATGTGTCGCGGCGGATGCTTACACGACGACGTATTTCGCTGTGAGAACTCGCGCGTCATACGTTTCGCACGGGTCCGTGAATAATTTTCGTCATCTCTTTTCCACGTATATTTCGAAAAGATTAAAAATTCCTCAAGATTTTTTATAGTTACCGATGCAGTTGGTACGTGCGTACGTGTTGAGTTTCTACGGACGACACTGCGAAATCCGCTACGCTGCTTTACGTCCGGCGTAAAAATTGTCCATACTTCGATCTATCGAAAAGCATTGTTCTCTATATTTCATATTCATAGTTGATGCGAGACTGGAGAGACTGGGCTCGTGAAGAGAGGGAAAGAGGGGAGGGGCGAGAAGAGGGGGACAGGGGCGGGAGACGTTGGGGTCATGCATAGAAAATTGCGTGCACAGAGATACGTGATAAAATCAGAAATAAAGGCGGACGTTGCTCACGTCGCGGTGAAATTTAAGGGCGAAGTGGAAAATTTCGCTGGGGGTGTTTTCCGGCGAGTTCAAAGCTACAGATCAAACAGCTCGGGTTACGTGCCGTGACTGGAAGCTACGAAGTTTGGAAAATCATCCGGCGGGTGGGCAGTGCCTGTATTGTTCCCCGTGAACGCTGTTTGCTTAACCCGCGCCATGACTATAACAAGAAGTTATTGTTGCCACGGAGTGCGGAGAATGCGGAACCTTATTGAATTCGCGGGCGCGAGGCAGAGAGCGCGGGGGATAGCCTTTGCGTATCGATAGCCGGGCCCCTGATAGCTTTCATTTCCCGGTGTTCATCGAAAGTTGAGAGAATGCTTTATTGAATGGCGGAGCAACTTCTTCCCGAGGAACGCACAAGTTCGCTTAGACGCTACTTGCCAGCGAACGGCTAGGAAATCACGACGGGGGACGTGCGCGATAACCCGAGAAGATTTCGACGAATTATATTCTGCAGCGGCAAAAAGAAGAAACGCGAAAAGAGAGTCTCGTTGCTCTCTTCTTTCTCTCTTTCTCTCTCTCTCTCTCTCTCGCTCTCTCTCTCTCTCGCTCTTGTCGCGGTTGCTCGCACTGATTTCTCGCCGTTGATTCGCAATGAATTACATTCGCTCAGCACCCTCGGCCGGGCTATCGATCCTTTCGATCCCCTTTCGCACTTTCGCGATGCCTTGAGCATCGAGCGATTTCCGCAATTTCCACATGTACCTCGTAACAATTTCAATTTCTACCCGCGCCGAAGTCCCATTTTCCCCGGCATACAATGGAGAATTTTATCGGACGCGTTCTATCTCGCCCTTCTTGCGCGGCCGTTGCCATCCGGCCGGGCTCCCCGAAGCCACCCCTTGACCCGCCCGCCCGTTCTTTTTCGTCGTATTCAGCTACTCCTACGGGATTATGATAATGACGAGCCCCGCGAAACCTCGAAACCTCGGTCAATAGCGAGTCGAGAGCGATTCATATAAATTGAATCAAAAACTCCCCCGCGCTCTCTCTCTCTCTCTCTCTCTCTCTCTCTCTCTCTCTCTCTCTCTCTCTCTCTCTCCCCCCCTCCCTCTGTAGGTTGCGACGCGGGGTTAACTGCCGCGTTACATACGCCGCGGCGGATTATCGGACGTTAATGTTTCACGTCAAACCGATGCTCCTCCTCCATCTCCCTTTTTTCCCGCAAATAATAATTGAGCGGCTCTGATCGGCCGGCGGAAGTTCGCAGTGGAAGTTGCGTCCGCAATGAGCGCCATCAACTCTGTCTATCTATTACGCTCCCATTTATCGCGACGTCTCACTCGTTACGGCGAGTGCTCGGTATCATACACAGCTACGCGGACGTTCTATTCATTTTGCGGCACGTGAATGTTTACAGCGCGGATCCGCAACAACAATTATGGAAGCTATTGTAGCGTGTGATTAATCGCGAGGAATGTCGTCATTGGCATCCATTCAATCCTCTTTCGACGCCGGTGTCATTATTTGTCTAGGCCGCGAGCGTTAACGCATCTGTAGAAAATACCTTTCGAGGATTGCGAAGAGATCGATGCGACGATAACCACGCGCAAACTTTAATTTTCGTTTTTACACTCAGCGTGTTATTATGTTAATATTAACGCGTATTGTATATTGATACACTGGGTGGACGAGAAAACCGATACATGCAATATTATCGAAACGTCGCATCAATGACGAATATATTATTAACGATATATTATTAACAACAATGTTTCACATTATGTTTATCATGCCCATTAATATTGAATTCTAATGACCACGTTTCATAAATACATAGATATTTCTATGCAACTTTCACCAAAAGCGCAAGACATTTTTAGTCCGGAAACGAGAAGCGCAATCTCCACGGTATTACTGGTAATTAACCGACTTAACATCTTGTCATGGAAATAATAAAAATTAAAATTTCGCTATAATGTTAAAAGTGATATATTCCGCGGTTAGAGTCTGCATTTTTAATATGGAACGAGAGAGAGAGAGAGAGAGAGATAGAGAGAGAAACAGGATATATATACGACGCCCCTTAATGAAATTGTTAATTAAACGCAACAGCGGTGCTACTTCATTGTATCTAATTGAAGGAAAATTCCGTGCTTATTGTACGCTGAATTTAACATTAAATCTGACAGAGTGTAGGTATTTCGTTACAGATTTGCAGGAATAATTTTCTGCGCGCTTCTCGTTAACGTTACGCTATCAAGTTATTACGACGTTAAACAACGATAAAATGACAATACGCATTTACTGCGCGTCGAATCGCGAGGTACATTTTTTCAGGGAGCTGCCCCAAATGCTAAAATTAATTAATAATTGATATATTAATTAATTTAATATAAATAAATTAATTAATATTCTTAATGTACACTTTTAATTATATTTGTGACCGAGTGACTCTCTTACGTAATAGGCTTGTAGCAGCAAATTTTTTACTGAAATATGTATGTGTATGCATACAAAAATTATATACGCGCACACACACACACGCGCGCGCACACGTTGATATCACGAGGAATAAAAATATTTAGCAGGGCAAATGAACTGGAATGTCATATTGAGGCGCACTGTACATTACGAATATGTATCGTGAAATATTTTATATTATTCGATATTACGCCTTCATAAACGACGATGCACTATGGATGAAGAGAAAATTGAAGTAAAAACGAGGAAATTGAGAAAATATGAAAGAGAGAAATCAATGGTCACAGCTGCGTAAAATATGCAGGCTTTAGCAGAAAATGCAAGGATGCTTATTGTTATATAATTACCTTGCGATATTATTACTTATACATTTATCAATACATGCTTGATATTACGTCAGTTTAGCATTGATAGATTTGTCAGATGCGTGATGCAAATCAATGTTTACAATCAAGAGTATAATAGCAGAATATTAATTGGCATTCTATTAATCAGACGTTGCAATTAAATAAATGCCGAGTACCATGTAGATTCGCCTGCGATGTGCAAATCAGATGTGTACGGGGCGAGGGGGGGGGGACATTAATACGTGATTAATTACTAGGTCGCTCAGAAAGTTCTCGCTCACACATGTGTTTATAAAATATGCATCTCCGTTTAAAGCCCTCGGCCTGCGTATCTTTCGAGCCCGCGGCTTTTATTCGCTTCGAAAACCGAGCGAAATTTCAGCACTGAACGAGAGACGCGTCTTGAAGTCGCAGACTGCAGCGGTGCGAAAGCGAGTGCCGGCGTTGGGTCGTCAGCAGGCCGCGTGGAGCGAGTTTGTGAATTATTTGCGTCAGCGCGAGATCAAAGAAGACGGCGGTATTCTTGGCGCGAAAACAACGCGGTATTTCGCGAATGTCGGGCGCGATTGTGTGTACGGGACTCGTGAGTAATGGCGTGACGCTTTATAATTCTCGAAAGTTCCGGCTTAATCAAGTACTTATTACAATTACCTACGACATGCACAAGCCAGCAACTTTCAGTTCACTCTAGCTGCAGCCCCTCTGATGTTGCAAAGCTGGTTCCGCGTCTAATCTTGTTTGAATGTACGGCGCGCTGAGTTTCCATATTCATCTAACTTCGACTTTGACTTTAGCGCGAGCTGCATAGTCCGTTCAATGTTTCGTTAGATAAGATTTGTGTCCGTGGATCCGCGCGCTTTGTGGAGCGCCTCGATGCATCCTGTCGCGCTTCGGGCAATGTTTCTCACGGCGATTTTTCGACGCCGCATTCGCGTGCGATGTTTACGCGCGCGCATTGACGCGTTGTGCTGCAGCCGGCTGATTACACGTTGCCACTTTCCCTATGGACAGACAAGTGAAAGAGCAATCTTTGATCAGCCGACTATACACGGAGGAAATTTTCACGAAATTTTAAACGATGTATCACCCTGTAAATGGTGCGTTTGCAATTGGAATATATTCATGCCAATCTAAATTTATATATTACAACAATCGTACCAGCGATTGGTTTGGATATCTTTCTAATTTTTCAGTGAAAGCACTGACGAGCGTCGGGATTCGGACCCAACTCTGGTCTTATTCTTATTATTATTTCGGTCTTCAAATCCGGATATTTCAACTTTCGGCATAAAAAACATACAAGCATCCTCATGATATATTCAGTGCGTGTGTGCACAGGCAAGGAAATAAAAGAAACAAAACAGTCGCGTCTTTGGCGAGTCTTCGTAGAGTCGAGTATCAGGATGCGATCGCTCAGTTTCGATGATTTATCGGAACAATGTGTCGATCCGTCGAGAGAATAAAACGCGGCACTCGCTCTGCGGAATTATTACGCCGCGTTCCCGACGTACGACGTATAAAAGTGTCGTCATATTTTGTCTCAGGTGGCTCCAGTCTCGCTAGTGTAGTAGCTGGAAGCAAGCCGACAAGATCCTGGGACAAGCCCCACTTCGACGATATTGCACCGCGAAATGTCACTGCCATCGTCGGCCAGACGGCGGAGCTGAATTGTTACGTCAAGCATCCGGGCGACCGTGTGGTGAGTAATATTTTCATGCTACATTTACCACTCCGCCATTGTTTTTCCCCCGCGCGCGCTAGGATGATGAAAGATCCAAGGAAATTTCCGTCGGAAAAATGCATCGGTTCTTCTCGATTTCACCCGGTGCTCCCTCCCCCTTCCCTCTTTCTCCGTGTTGTATCTCCGCGTGTCTCTGCGAGGGTGTCGTTTTCTACGACGCTCTTCAGCGGGATAAATAAGAGCACGATGATCGTGTAGTCTCGCGGACGAAATTGCACAATTATCTCGCACAGTTGTGCCAAAGGGACGCAAGCTGTGCTTTTCTACTTTAATCGGTCTGGGAAACTGTCGAACGCGCGCGCAGCGCAATACCTCATTCGCCTTATTACTTCGCACCTTAGCACGTCGAACCGCCGTGCCGTGTTTAACGTCAATCCCAAGCCAACTAATCACGTTGATTAATGCTGCGAGATTGCCGGTTTGAAAAACGATGGAGCGTAATTTCCGCGGCCCTTCCCCACCCCTCCCTCCCTCCCTCCCGTAGATCCCGCGCACGACGCTAAGATGTCGTGTTACACTGAAATACCTGAAACAAAGATCCCAGATTATGGCTTGGCTCTCCATGTGGCGGTATAAATTGTGGAGCCGCACGCCACGGAGAAAAAAATATATCGATGAAAAAAGCGAGACACGCCGTGTAAGAGTCCTTCTCACGAAAATACGACTCTTTCCCCAAAACGACCGTTACTGATGGGAACGGGCGATATCGTATATCGCGATCTGCTTTTTACCAAATCGCGTTGCGCGCGGTGTGTCGCGTGTAATATCAAGCAAATGTCCTTATACATTTTCGAGAGCTTCCTCGTCGGAAGAGACGCGTGTACCGAAAATTGAGCCCTACGGGAATTGAATTCAACGAGGCTGCGCGTCGTATTATTATTTACATCGTATCGTAATTAGACATATAAACGTCTCCTGAGTCGATCAACGACTCGCCTCGAGCGAACGGATTCGCTATCGTGGACAACGTAATCAAAGGCGCAAACACGTCTGTTTATCGCGGTTTACACTTTGTATCTACCAGGACAAATATTTGCCGTCGTCGCGTTGTTAACACTGCGATTAATATCGCGTAATTGCGAAGATCACGCGGCGCGGTCGCGCACGTGCGCGTCGCACCGGGGAAATTCATCCTGGAAGAACATTTATCGTCAGAATGCAGGTGGAGAGTGCGGAACTCTCAAAGTGCCGGACAAGTGAACAATAACCTCGTCTCGAGAGGTTCACTTGTAACTGCAAACTGTTGCGAGGGGGTTCGGAGGGAGCTGAGGGGGGAGAGGTGCTGTGCGATTCAGCGCGCACGCGCGCGTAGCGCGGCGTTTTCACGGACCCTGCGTGCGAAATGATAGCGGGATAAAAACGCGCGCGCGCGCTGTATTTACAATGGCCAACAAGAAAAGCGGCGAGGGTTCTTTCCGGGTCTGATTAAATGCAAATCTCACTGTTATTACGGCGCCCGTAGGAAACACCGCTGTCCTTTAAGGTCGCTGTCCAATTAACAGGCGTGAGATTATCTCATTTTAAATTAAACAATCGCATGTGCTTTCTCTCTCTCTCTCTCTTTCTCTCTCTCTCTCTCTCTCTCTCTCTCTCATTCTCTCTCTCTCTTTCTCTCTCTCCCTTTCTCTCTTTCTCTCTCTTTCTCTCTCTCTCTCTCTCTCTCTCTCTCTCTCTCTCTCTCTCTCTCTCTCTCTCTCTCTCTCTTCTTGTCTGTCCCTTTTCCCGGTACAATTCCTGGTTACGTAAAATTGCGTGCAAAACGGCGTTTCACCGTTTCGCCGAAAGGCCGGCGATTGCGATCGCGACAGGTTTCTCTCACATTTTCGTATTAAGATAAGATTCTAATCTCGCACTTTGACGATCGCCTCTGCGAAAAAATTACTTATCGCGCCATTAAATCTCATCGATCCCGCCGTGAATTGTTTCGGGCATTACCTTCGACAAGCATTAACGGGTCGTTAAACTTTAACGGGCTGCTAGCGGGCGAAGATACGGGCGGGAAGTCAAATGTTCAATCCATCCTCTCTCTCTCTCTCTCTCTCTTCGCGGGAGATCCAAGTTGGGGCACTTGTAATGGAATACCATCATCTAACTTGGTTGTTGCTCAGTCGGGATTATGTTTATTGTAACATCATTGACGGCGAGTATCCACACAGGTAGTTTCGAACAGTGCGTTAAGATTCTCTGGCGAAAATTTAGCCAACTACTGAACCAGCTGAAAATTTCACCCACGCCGAGTATCTCCGATTTAGACATTTTCTCGGAAGGTATTGTTGTATTTCGTTCGATCTTTGCGCGACTCTCTCTCTCTCTCTCTCTCTCTCTCTCTCTCTTTTTAAATAAATGTACATTCAATGTTGTTCGATAAATATCGGTCGAATCAATCGGAACGGTAATCTCAGACAGTTTGCGCAGTTCAGCAAGGAATGTTTCTTTCCCCCGTAACTGTTTGCAAATACAAACGAGCTGTTTGCAGTCCGTTGTTGTTTGTTCCCGTATATTCTGAGCGTCGACGGGACCGTTTGTGCATTCATTTGCATTGTCTCAACCATGTTGTCTGTTCCGCGAAAGGAAACGCGTGTCTCTCTCCTGTTTTCTCCCTCCCTCCCTCCCCCCCTCTCTCTCTCTCTCTCTCTCTCTCTCTCTCTTTCGCTCTCTCTCTCTCTCTCTCTTTCGCTCTCTCCCTCTCTCTCTCTCTCTCTCTCTCTCTCTCTCTCTCTCTCTCTCTCTCTTTCGCTCTCTCCCTCTCCGGGTTCATTAACACTTTGCGCCTTGCGCGGACGATAATGAAGTGTCTTGATGGAATAATTCTGTTACCGTGTAAATGGCGTCTATCCGTAGGTACGCTCGTTCGCTCGCGACAATCGCGTCGCTCTTCTTTCGCGCTCTCGCGCGCGCATGCGACTTTCGGCTTCGACTTTGAAATTCGCAGGAACGAAACGAACGAACGTCGCGCCAAGCTCCGAACGGACAATCGCGCCCATCGATAATACGTGCAACTGATTTCTCACTTGATTTGCATCAATTATAATAACCTCGACTTCTGTCGAGCCAAGCGGTTTCCGGAATATTGCGCATCGGGTATCAGACCGATATCTATTTATACGTAAATATTCGCATAATTATGGATGTTTATTCGGATTAGTAGCGACGGTATCAATATGCACATTAAATTCATTAAAATTGCGCAATAAACAATCGAGGTTTAATGTTTACTTCGCACTGCATATTCGTGTATTATTGCATCAGAGGATGCATAATACGAGCGAATGCATTCGCTCTATGCGAATATGGTCGTTGCGCGTCGATATTATACACATTATCCAGCCAAAATTTGACTGTGTGCGCACGGTGATTGTTCCGCGATTAATTTTAAGTGTTCCGGTAGAATTATTGGAGGAAAAAAATCCCAATAAGAACAATGGGTCGAAAAATTTAATATTGTCGGACTTGTGAATTATTTATTTTAATTAAAGCGAGTGGCCTTTTTATGAGGATTTCTTTAGAGCATGGTGTATTTTACACCGATAAATGACATGGACGAATTATATCAGAGAATATAAAATGCCTGTCAAATAGTTGAAACAAAGCCGGGAATTTTTAAAAAAATTCCACGGTACGAAGATATGAAGTGTGTGAAAATAGGAGGAGAATATATAGAAAATCTTCCGTAAATTTTGTGAGCACCGGAAGCGCGAGCAGCAGGCCCCTTTCTTTAATTAAAATATATAATTGTTCATAATTTCGACAATCGTTTTTTTTAAATACTCTATATATAAATCTATTTTATTTTCCGCGTCGTGTATCGAAATAATTAAACAAAAAGAACCATTTCGCACGGTTTAATAAACGAAGCGGCCGACCGAATACGAATTAATTTTTGCACAGAAAGACAATATTTTGAACAATAATCTAAAATAGATCTCGTAATGAGAGCGAGCAATTATCCGGCTTCTCCTCGATATGCGCAACAGCTGATAATCAACATCGTTATCAGACAGTTTTATTGTTTCGTAATAATTCAGCCGTCCTTTTTCTTCAGTACGTCGGTAAACGTTCTTTACAATCGTGAGTGGAAGAGACAGTTGTTAAACAATTCGTCTTGAGACATTCACGAAATTCCCAAGATTGTACACACCGAGTTGGGCGTATGTATGTGTTTGTTCATCTGCTTGGGGCATTTGTACGTACAGGGTGACGCAGAATTTCGCTGGACAAGCCGGAATAAGCTTCCATTAAACGAAAACGCCGAGGACTCGACGGTTTTGAAGTTACGAGTAATTATTATCCAAGTCACAGTCTCCCAAGGTGACGAGAAATTAAAAGTGAGCAATAAATGAACGGATATTTCGAAAACGAGGTTTCTCAAGGGAGAGAGTACAATATAAGTATAGTGTAAAACTTGCTTCCTTGTTTGAAACATGAAATGGATCTTAACGAGACTTGCGAGGAGTCGTCGGTTGTAAGGATGTAAAATGTTAAAAGTCGCTCGTCGACTGAAGAGCATAATTTTATTAACTATACGAAGCCGAAACTTTTCGATACTCCTCCCATAAATTGTCCCTCTTGCGCAACTTTCCCGCGTCAACTCAAGACGCATCAAAAAGTGGTAAGCGCAACGACATGCGGTGGGTATCTCTTCCTGCGGGGAGCGCAGCCGCGTGAGAAATCCTTACAGGTGGACGCGTTTCCTCGTGTGTACGCGTGCGGTATCTCCCTCGCATCGGCTCCAGGAGCTTCCAGGAAGACGCATGACCTCGGAACTTGCGGCGCGGAACACCCGGTATACGTGCGAACGCGTACGTGTGTCTAACGATCGTCTTGGTTGCGCAGGGGCTGCCTTTAATTGGCAGACGAAAGGGTCCGGAATAGCGGAAGAAGCAAGTGCAGGAGCTACAGCGAGGATTGCGCGCGCGAGGGTGGTTGCCCCCGACTGCGCGTCCTCAGTATTGGCAAAT